TTGTTGTTAAGGCAAAAGCAAAAAAGATAGAACTGGGCGATGACTGAAGATAGCTAACCCACTTGAGAGTGATAAAAGCATCTGTTGAAAATCTGGTAACCAGATCTCCTTGGTACCAGAAAAAAAACACACACACACATACACAGACTGGTGGGTGGTGTACACGGTACAAAGAAAGGGAGTCCCTGAGTGTCAGCATCTGGCGAGGCCACGTGTAGCATAATCTGATTAGTTTTCAGTTCCACACCCACAAGCTGAAAGATAAAAACGCACACCCCTCCTCCCCGAGGAGGTAAAAATCTTCAAGCATCAACACCACATTTACATTCTGCAAGTCAGCCGCTTCCATGGCCCGATTTACATCTTGACTTCTCCAGCGGAGAGGTGGAAGTTCAGCTCACGTCCCTTTCCAGTTACCACATCCAGCAGACACAAAACTGGCTTGCTTTGATCTGGGAGACATTCCTTCGATTAGTTTAAACTGAAATGATTAAGCTGGAGATGAAGCCTCCTCACATCTCCTGCCATGCCTGGGATGTGATAATTGAACATTAGCTTCTATGGGCCATTTAACATGTTCTGAGGCCATCCTGGCTGGCTGCGGTTTGCACTGCCTTTATTGCACTCTCTCAGTACTATTTTCTGACTTGGTTCATGTAAAATGGCCAAAATTGGTACTGGGGTGGATTAATGGCAATGCTCTCTGTCTCCAGAAACTGATGCTCAGGTTGGTGTTTGGCTTGAAGTAGCACAGTAGCGGTGAGAGACCAGAATATTGCTTGTCATTTTGGAGTGAATAATGGATTTCTAATATCTAACATGTTTTGTACTATAGAATCACAGAATGGTTTGGGTTGGAAGGGATCTCAAAGCCCATCTAGTTCCAACCCCCCTGCCATGGGCAGGGACACCCTCCACTAGCCCAGGTTGCCCAAAGCCCCATCCAACCTGGCCTTGAACACTTCCACTCTGACAGCAGACAAATCAGAACAGCTTGTATAGCTTTTATCTATTAACTCTCAGTTTTTCCTGACTCTTGCCCATCTCCTTGCCCGTGACCTGATCTTTTCCAATGGCCACTGGATCCCATCCTTATTCACTGCCTCATGGGACAGCCTCAGTCTTTTTGGGTGCTTTTCCTATCCAAGACTGCTTGTGTCCGTAACCATTTAGCCTCTCTCCAAGCCCAATCCAGTCCACAAAATCATCTTTGTAACAGCAAACGGCACAAAATGCGGTGTTGCAGGCATTGGGATAGCTGCGACATTATTTTGTCCTGTTTGTTATGTAGCTTTTATATTGCTTTTTAATGTACTCACGGCCACAGCAGATCACAGATTCTCCCTGAGCTATCCACACTTGCTACCCTAATCTTTTTTCCTGAAATAAAATTACGCCTCATGACTGAGACCAAGGAATACAGCTTTTCTTAGCACACTCCCCTGGGATCAGGAATTTCTCTGTCAACGGACACATATATCAATGAGAGATGAAAAGCAGCTTGTGGAATGAGTTTTAAACATGTATCACATATTTCATTGCTGCTGCTTATATGCTACTCAGAAGGCCTTTTTAGAGTGTTTTCAGCCCATACCTCATGGCTCCTCTGTACTTAATAGGATTTTTTTTTTTTTTTTCTGCACAGGAATCAGGGCAAGAGATTTATTTAAGTTGCCTACGCTTTTTTGTGAGCACCTCCTGAATATGAAGTTTTTGTTGAGTTCCCTGCTTACTTTCAACGTGAGCACATCTTAGCTTTTATCAAAGCGTAGGAACCCGTAACGTGCGAAGCTGTAATGTAATCTCATCTCACTGGGACGTTTCGCCGGGGGAGCGTGGCTCCTTCTGCGGATCTCTTTGTCACAACATGACTCCGTGTTACAACCCTAAATTTTAAATGTCCAGAAGGAGAAGGCAAGTCTGCCTTCGGCCCCTTGCTGGTTTCTGGGGACTTGCAGTTCCATTGATGCCTGGGGTCTTCCAGATGTGCATACAGCTCTCTTTTCCCTACTTTTTTTTTGGGAGGGGAAGGTGGCAACACCCAAACCCACACATCTCTAGATCATTTCAATTCAACCAGATGTGGGAATCATTCTTCCTAGTCCCCGTCCCCCC